AAATTTCACGAACCTTGATCAAATCGCCCCAGGCGCCCTGTTTTCACCGTCGTCCAGCAGGAAACCTTCTAATTGAGGGCCTTTTTGACATTATCAAATGTCAAATGTCAAATGTTTATCACATGTTATGATAATTTTCTGTGCTATTTTCATTAGCATTATTTATATCATACACGGTAAGGTACCTAGGTATGCTTTTTGTTTCAAACTATTGCCAAATAATATTGATATCTTCGCATCCGCAGTAAATATGCGAGTAAGGCGGGACTGTGTTCGAAAAATAAGAAAAGAGGTAACGCCGTCCAATGAAACGACTGGTTGCTTGGCAACTTGCATGTTCCACAGCGAAAAAGGAACTTTTGCAGTCTGTTGCTAGGTAACGCTGACTGTCGAACAATGGTTAGCAGCCAAATGCTTCATTATTTTGAAGCAATAGCGTTATTTTTGGAGCATAAAATGATTGCTGCCATTCAGTTACTATCCAGGCTACCAAAATTTTTGCAACATTTGCAAAAATACTTCACTTGGGTCGCTTTCCGAGTAGTAAAGGAATCTTGCGCTTTCCAGTTTCCACGTATTCCACGTATTTCAGCGTTTTTATTGTGTTTTTGTTTTGTTTGTTGTTTTTCATAACGCATTTTCGTATTTCCGTATTACCCCTTTCCACGCTTACCGGGTATATCAAAATAGAACCTTGGCGTTTCATGCATCCATTTCTCGATCAGAGGATCGCGGGGCCAAAAAGGAAGTGCGTGTTGCGTTTCTTATACCACTCCCTGCCCTTATGACCTGCCAGACACCAGGGGGCGTCGAAGTCTAGTTCCTACCAAACTGGCACTCCCATGCCTACGTCACCACGAGGACGCCCGAGGGCATTTACATGTTGAAGATAGGGAAATTGCCATAGTTTAGAGCCGCCTGGAGGGCAACCTTGAGATAGATGAGAATGTAAATGTGTGCTAATATGATTATCAACATGTTATTTATCCAAATCCAGGGCCAATTAATCGATATCTTGTCACGTTTTCCAGTGGTGATGCGCTAACTTTCGTGGTTCTTGCAGCCAATAAGGGTGTTTCATAGTGCGATTCAGCCGCATTATCGACTTTAATGCCATAAACCGCCACGGAACATATGATTTGCAGCTCCCTAGCGTGATAGCTGCCAGTAGGGCTCCGGAGTCGGAGTCATGAAGTCGGTCGGAGTTGACAGTTCTGACCTGAGTCGTCGAGTCGGAGTCAGAGTCGATTTTAAAAGCTGGAGTCTGAGTCAGTCACCGAAATTCGATCCCCTCTGCAGACCTTTCAGGGTTCCGTAGTCGGAGTTGTAGTCGGTCGGAGTCGACAGTTCTGACCAGAGTCAGAGTCAGAGTCGATTTTGAAAGCCAGAGTCGGAGTCGGAGTCACCAAAAATTCATTGCCTCTGCAGACCTGCTAGGGCTGTGGAGTCGGAGTCGGTCAGAGCCGACATTTGAAATCAAAGTCAGAGTTGATTTTTGAAAGTCTGAGTCAGAGTCGGAGTCATCAAGAAACCCATGGACGATCCGCAGTACCTACCATGCAGTAAGGGCGCTGCCGATCGATGCCCTGAATTGCCTATGATTTATGAATTGAATGAATAGATGGCAATTAATTAGGTACCTGCTATTATTCATCCCTTGCCACTTGGAGAACTTACTTTCAGTAGAAAAAGACGCATTATTTGTTTGTTTATTTATTGACAAATATTTTTGAGCAGTTAGGGATACAGACACAAAACACAATGATAGCCACCTCGCTGGTGCAAATCATCGCTAGATAGATGTTGAAATGTGTTGCCATTGAAATTCTGCTGATTTTCCTGGCGGCTCTCGTTTTCAAGTAACTACTGGTCTTGTAAGATCTCTTGATTGCTCACCGTCTGGCGTATAGTTCCAAGGTTTTCTGAAAGCTAATCAAACGTTATCATGGCTGCTCTTGATGGCATGGCGCTTGCTGGTTCTGGGCTCTTTATTGGTGGTTCTTGCGTCTGATCCTGTTGCTTCATGTTCCAGCATATCACATTAAATTTCTTATGGAACAGACAGTTCTACCTTTTATTTCACTATCAGTCGACTTGCTTTTACCCCTGTGGCCTGCCCTAGTAGCACATCAATATTGTATCGATATTGTATCAATATTGACAACAATGTTGTATCGATGTAATTCTGTTAGCCACTTTCGACATTGATACGATGTTGAATTTCGACATCGTATCAATATTGACAGGACAACATTGTACAACATTATTTCGATGTTGATACAACATTGTCTCGATGTTGATTTTTGGTTGATTCAACATTGTCTCGATGTTGATACAACATTGTCTCGATGCTGATTCTTGGTTGATTCAACATTGTCTCGATGTTGATACAACTTTGTCTCGATGTTGTTGTGGACAGACCTATGCGTGTACGAAATCCCATAGGATCCCGTAATTGCCTTAAATATTCCAGCGTCACCGTCACAGTCAATGTTCGGGGAAAAATGTATTTCTATGATATATGCACAGCTTTTCACTTTTTTCGAGTCAGTTACACTTCACATATCACGTCACACAACTTCGGCCGCCGGCACAGCTCTTCACTTGTTTCGAGTCAGTTACACTTCACATATCACGTCACACAACCTCGGCCGCCGCTCAGTCTCCGCCATCTTCACATCTTGAGCGGTTGAGTCAGGGCCGTGGGGGTTGAGTCGCCTGTCGAGCCTCGCACTTCTGTAACAAAGCGGATATTCCTATGTAACAACGGTAATGAATTGGGCCTTTGAGTAAATTCAGTTCAGTCATTTTCAGCTCAGATAATAGATATTTATGTAAGTGCATTTAGCATCACGCATGTACCTATACGTCCTACTACCATGAATCTATTCTTTTATACTTTACCGGGCCCTGTTTCAAGTCATGACGCTACATGACGCCACCGGCAGCACTTTTTCTCTTTGCCGCAGGCAAGTGAGTGACGACAGTGATCGCCACCATTTTGGAGAGAACGTTTCAGCGCCAGTTTTTTTTAAACTTATCACTGCAATAACTAGGATAAATCCACTGATTGTCACACAGCAGAAACTGGCGGAAACCTACATGGTCGGATGAAAGAGGAGACGCCAGACGACACTGGACACAACACACTCAACACACCCGTCCGCACTCAGCGAGCCGGCACAACGGGACGGGGGACGCGCGGTCCCCTGTCGCGGTCTCCCCCTCTCTAGCCGGAGGCGAGGATGGGACCGCCCGCTGCCGGCCGCGTACAGTCTTCAAAACGGTCAGCGGTCGCTAGATTCCAGTCGGTACGGTCTCTGAAAGAGCACAGCGCACGACTGGTGGGAGGGGACCAAGGCACTAACTACCGTGATACTTGAATGGCACCGGTGCAGTGGCACCCGAATACAATAATGCCGATACAATAATGCTGCTTAATTCAACGTAGGTTGAGGATGTTATAAAAGGATTTTATGAAGTGGAGCTATCTTTATTTAAGGATCCATTCACTTTATAACTCTCCATATATCATATTCAAGACGTATATGCCTAATAAGATACCAATAGGTACTATTTCTATACCACCATATTCGTCTATTTGGAACCTCAGTGATCCCACCCTTAAAGTCCGATAGACGCCTTAGGACCTGTCGAGCCAGCCCATGGGACCCCTTACACCCGAAGGAGGGGCATTTGCGGCCTTTAATGCTGTCAAGTGTCAACACAACTGCGGGGCAATATAGTAATTAAATCACAATGTTGGAACTCTACTTTTATCAATATTGTGAAATCAACATCGTGACAATGTTGTATCAATGTTGAATCACAACGTTGAAATTCTACCTCTGTCGATATTGTGAACTCAACATTGGGACAATGTTGTATCGATGTTGAACTACAATGTTGAACTTCAACCAAGATTCGACAAAGCACAACCAAATATCAACGTGATATCAACGTTGAATCAATGTTGAATTCGTGTTGAAGCACCAATATTGACAATCAACCTGATTTCAACATATCTCAATGTTGTATCAATGTTGTGTGCTACTAGGGTGCTGGCCCTTTTATTTCCACGATAGAATCTAGGTACCAATTATTGAAAAAGCCTCGGATAAAAAAGCAAGAAAAGTATGTCAAGTTAAATAATTGCGACGGTCCTAGAAAACCAGAAAAAAATATCAAACAGCCTGTCCATCTCACTCCCCTCACTTCATAACAAAAACAAACCACGCAGCAACTATGCGCAGCAAAACATGCGAAAGAGTCCTTAGCAACGCCTTAGCAACGCATTTGTCTGAAGTGCGCAATATGTGTCACATCTGGAAAATTTAGTAGCTACTTGATTATTGAACTAGAATTGGACTATATAAGCTAGGCTTTTATATAAAAAAATAGTGTTTGCTTATCGAATTTATAGTAACTGGCTGCTTAACTTCGAAATAATGATTTATTACAGAAAAAGCTTGTTTGCGACATATTTGTAAAGAAACAACGGAAATAGCTTTGACTCGTACGCTATTCTAGTACATTTTTGGTAGAAAACTTCGTCCAACCTTATGTTTTAGGGCCTTGCCAGACACAAGCTGTTATTTATTTAGCCGTTCGTTAAATGTAAGTACTCAAAATCCCTCTCGGCACTGCCACTCTGGCACCCTTTCTGGCTTTCCCTTGCACTTGCTTCCACCGGACGTCACATGAGCCGGGCTAACGTAAACTTTGTTCTTGATATTGCCTTGGGCCGGAATAACATAGCCGGCATTAAAGTAAAGTAAAACGGAAGATCTGGCTAATTGCCAGCTAGTAACTTCCCCCTACCCCGACCAGGGCCTCGGCCTGTCGGGAGCAAAATTCAAAAAAAAAAAAAATCTTTTAGATATGGCCGTTTCGGTCTAATAAGACCGTTTCTGAGCTGCGGGGTTCCAAGAATTAGGTAAGCCGATACCCATGAGCCCCGATTACGAGCCAACAGCTGCTTATTAACTGTAAACCATCACTTCAGCACAGGATTGTGTTTTATTTTTGGCGAAACACCGCTGAATACATTATATGATAATACACGACTCTAAAATAAGTGCAAAATAATACAAACTGTGCAATAATAATATCCAAATACAAGACGAAGAAGTGGCTCTCACCGTCCCATTCGTAGAATATAGCCAATAAAAGCGACGCCAGATCACAGGGGCACAAAAGTCCAAATGTAGGTAATGTCTAAGCTCTAAGCTACTGCCCCGCATCCAATCACAGGTTATGTGTCGCGCAAGAGCGCCACCCAAAGTCAATTTTTGGTGACCAACAATATACAATACAACAAAGCATGTCATTCGGCTACGTCCCTACGCGAGGATTGTAAAGGTGACTACGCTCCTCAGGAATAACTCATCGCACAGCGCACAGACCGATAAATATCTACCCCAACCGACTTCGCTTCGGCGCGGTCGACGATCGGTAAAATTCTCGCCATATCTATCACACCCATCACACATGCCATCCGTCCATCAGTCACATCTGTGGCGTCTGTCACATTCGCCGTCAGATTACATCTGTTACACTCCACCCCATCCCACGTAGTTCACGGGCCGGCTCACCGCATCGTTACCACAATGTTGCCGACCAGGTCCGGCCTCAGCTGCTCCAAGGCGTTTGTCACCTCAGAAAACGCCACCGTGTGGTGGATGTTCGGCCTGGGGAAGACGCGAGTGGTTAGTCGGTGCGTGGAGGAGTGTCTGCTAACAGAAAGGATTCGGCTGAACTTTTGAAACAATAAGACTTAAGAGTTGACCTGCATCTCCTTAATGGAACATCTTGTTGAGCCTCGTTGAAGAAAATACCAAGAAAATACTTTTATAAAAAAAAAAAAATTATTCAGACCATCATAAACATTTTACAACAAATTCTGACAATTAGCTGCAGTTACTATAGAAAACGAACCGATGCCAGAACTATCATGCCTAACGCTCACAAATTTGCGTATGTTCCCACTTTGTGCCTCCCCTCCCACAGATCCCCCTGGCCGCCCTGCTGACCTGATGGCGTTATCGCGCAGCTTTTCGGCCACGTCCCGCAGAATGTGCAGGTAGCGGCCGTGGGTTTTGGTGCCCAGCGGCCACGCCTGGCCGAACAGGAAGCTCAGCGAGGCGCAACGCTGCAGCAGCCGCTGGGACACGGCAGGTTCGACCTGAGAGGGGCAGTTCGAGAGGAGTCAGTTACCTGCAGAGACGGCACAGAGTGCGGGTATAGGCGGAGAACAGAATGAAGGCAAAGATGCCGGTCACAGCACACCTGCACCAGCAGTGGCACATAGACCTGCACAGACCGGCAAATACACCTGGTATGTATGCATTGTACAACATATAGAAAGGTAGTGAGTCACCAAAGGCTTCGAAAATGCAAAGTGTCAGTTATGCCATCAAGTTCAAAATAAACACCAAACCCGGTGAACAATCACGTATGGGATACACCCCTTCCCAGCTATCGGGCTGAGGTGTCGGGACATGCACCCCACCCCAGCCACACCTGACAAAACACAGCACCCTGGGGGAGTGACGGCACCCACACCGCCGACACCCACGCTCCCCTCGGACCCGCTGGACAAACAACTACAGGTGTCTTCCGCTAGAAACCCTAGCCAGACAGCTGGACCCGGACCCGGCGTCCCTCCAATCGGCGGGGTACATCAGGGCAGGCCCGCGTACCGGCCGCGCCAGGCGAGCGCCGCCACAGCTGGAAATGGCATCAGTAGCCGCGGCTGTGCTCCGATTTCACGGTATCAGTACATGCATCGACTGGTGCCGTAACGAAGACTAGCGAAAATATGTACTTCGGTAGCTTTTCTGCGTACTTTGAAGCCAATGCTTCTCTAGTTAAAAACCCATGAAATTAAGTAACTTTGACCAGAGGGTTCAACACTGCTCCATTGCTCTGCATTGCTCCGAACCATGGGTACTATGTACTATGCACGAGTTCTATTGGCAAAAGCACGAGCTACTATATTAACAATTACCTAACATGTAGCACCATCGCTACGCCATTTCCGCTGACACAGGTCACCATTTGACATGTCTAACCGCTCGTCTATTCCGGACACCCACTACCGTCGTTCCACCGCCCAATTTAGACCCTGGTCACCCCCACCGTTCGCATTAGACCTCCATAAACGGCTACCTCTCCCATCGTTTGTGTTGAACCCCGTCTCTGACAGACTCTGCCGGGCTCCCAGCATGCTTAACCCCATCCGTACGAGATTTCCGTCCGTACCGAACCCACAATATCACCCCCTTCCCCCCCCCCACACACACAGCCCATTTACTGACCTGGAGACCGGCCTGTTGAGTGACCAGCCGGCCGCCCACCGACAGTACACTGCAGCTCAGACCGACCGTCCAGAACGCGGTCGGCGCCTCCCACTCCGGAGAGTCGCACACCTGACAAAAAGGACAAAACAATTATAAAATTATATGACATAATCATAAAAACAATGAATATAATAATGTTAACAAACTCGTATACATCAGAGGCAGACCGATTCTTTTAGGGTGTTACGGATATTTCCGTTCCGTTTATCCGTTCATTTCATTCAGTGACAAGGAAGGGAGCATCAGATGACCATCATCTCCAATTTCCATCCCCTGGTAAGCTAGGGTTATATGCTCCGTTTCGTCGCTTACCGGTTGTTTGACGTTGCCCTGGTCAATGATGATATCGACTCCCATGTCCAGGGACTCGTCCATCACCATCTGCCTGAGCTTGTTGCCCTCCACGCCGCCCGTGCAGTCCAGAACCACTGCCGAAGTGCGCCAAATCAGCACAGCAAAACAAACACGGTTACAAACAGTTCCAGCGTCCCTAAACTAGACTTAACAACATCTGAGGTGCAAGTGAAGCGCTCAACGGATTCACATTCTGATACGAATATGATGGGTTGATTGCTGATTGAGTTGAAGCACGTTTCTAGAAGCCTGTGAACAAGCCAATTGAGTTTGAGTGACGGGATGGATTCAATCAGTTCGACATTGCCCAACCGGTAAGAACCACGAGCGAACGACCGAACGTCGGTCACTGCGACGTACAATGGTTGGCAAGGGCAGTTCACGGCCTGTTACGTGACCCGCCTGGCGACCCTCTCCCACTCTGCAGCTCCTCCCTCCCCCCGAGCCCCCCCCCCCGGCGCCGCGATCAGTACCCACACTTGGCGCGCCGCCGTCCCCACGTGAACAGCTGAGCGGCACCTCTCGTCACTCCATCGCCGTCTCTCAACTTCTCCGGTGAGTCAGACCTCAGACAAATAAGCATATTTTATGTGGCCGAATCCTCAATTGAATTTGAATATAATGGCAAAATAAAAAAAATCCGGTATATTCGATCATGACGGATGTTGACAAAGATCCGTGATCGAATATACCCAAACTTAGTTATTCTGTCACTATTTTCAGATTCAATTCAGGATTAGGCGACTTAAAATATGCTTATAAAATATAACCAACATGATGAACTTCCTCATAACGTTTGACTCTCAGGAAATACGCCTCGGGATGTATAGCGGCCGTCTTTTTAGGTTCACTGCCATGATTCATACACCCCTAAGTTAGTTAAATCATATCACCCTTCATTTAGGTGGTTTTATCAATGAAACAAGAGTCCAATTAAGCTTAAATGTAATGTAATTGTAAAAAAAATGTAATTGTAGACCCCAGAATGTTTGTCAAGTGCCGATGATAAAAAACAGTTTACCTATACGCATATTTTAATGCAAACTGTATTGTACGTGTTGTTTTCGTGCCGTAAATAACTAGCTTCATCACCTAGTTAGGCTATTTTGTAGTGCATTTCAGTGAAAGTAAATCACAGTAAGTGGCAATAATATGCCTGCCCATTGACAAGTTCCCATGTACCGCAATTCAATACTTGAAAACATAGTGACCAAGCCAAGCCATAGTTGCTTGCATACTCCGACAATCGAAAATACAAGAGCGTCAAGAGTAAAAGAAGTTTAAACGAGTTTTGTAACTACATTAGCGCAGAATTGTTTAAATCCGAGCTAGGCATATTGGCTTAGAAAAGACATCAGTCGGGGGAGTTTTGGTCAATCGTTGTCATTTTTAGCACGTGCTATTTTTGTCACACGTGCTAAAAATGACAACGATTCTGCTATTTTTGACAACGATGAGGCCGATTTCACTCCTCAGCGAGGAAATTAAGATTTTGGAAAGATAAACACTGATTTTGGAAAAGAAGTGCTGCCACCTGGTGCAAGACGAAGAATCCAGCTTTAATATGCCTGTTATTTGTATGGTAGTTTGTTTTGTGGCCTGAAGTTGGAACTTAAAATTGAAGCATCCGAAAATGATCGATATTGATCGAAAACATGATGTTGATGAAAAAAATAATATTTTAAGTTGAGAGAGGAGGCCATTTTATCCAGATGCAGTAGTTTACTTCTTGAAATTATTTTTGCTAATGACGGCTGCTAATTATCCCTCATTACATGGCAGTCGTCGTAAGCAAAAATAATTTCAAGAAGTAAACCACCGCATCTGGATAAAATGGCCTCCTCTCTCAACTTAACATATTATTTTTTTCATCAACATCATGATTTCGATCAATATCGATCATTTTCGGATGCTTCAATTTAAAGTTCCAACTTCGGGCCACAAAAAAGGGTATACTTCAACGTTGGACTACCATACAAACAACGGCCATATTAAAGCTGGTTTCTTCTTCTTGCACCAGGTGGCAGCACTTCTTTTCCAAAATCAGTGCTTGTATTTCCAAAATCGTGATTTCCTCGCTGAGGAGTGAAATCGGCTTCATCGTTGCTAAAAATAGCTGATAGCGTTGTCATTTTTAGCACATGGTTGCCAAAAATGGCATGTGCTAAAAATGACAACCATTGACCAAACCTCCCCCAACTGACATGGTCATAAAGCTGACAATTTCTGAAGTGAAACAGCCTTTAACACGTCGGAGCGACTGGGTGAACGTGCTCTGGGTCAAATGATATCGGCATCCAGGGACTGTTGGTCTTTTCGACTTTCTGTCCCTCCTCCCTATAAGAACTTAATTCAGTCACCGGCCGTATTTAACTGAGTTCTGTCAGAATACGTATTACATTCACACATAGATGTGACGGGAGTACTCTGATACGGGCTAGGCCGGGTGGAGATGCACCGCTAATTAGAACCATGGCTGCCCCCCCCCCCCTCCGGGCTCAAGCGGCACTAAGGCGATGTCGGGGGGTGCGCCAGTCACTCCTTAATTACTCAGTCAGTCCGTCTTCATTTACACTGCCAAACACGCTGCGCTGCTGACTCGAGTGCTGCAGTAGCACACGGCGTTTAGCTCGGATGGAAGCCTCATCCAAGGATCTGCTAACCACGGCACGTTCGCAGCACGCTGTCGCTCGCGGCTGCAGGACCTCGCTGACTCTGCACTTCTGCAGCATCTACGCTGCAGCGTGGTGAAGTGGCTCGTGGCTGACTCAACTACTCAGCAACACGACTGAATCAACGTCTAGTACTGCTCTGACCCACAGAGGCACTTGCGATGAAGCAACAAAAGCGCAAATGCGATATTAAATGCACCATATGCTCCGAAAGCCTGGGGTAGTGGTGCCGTGAGGCGCAGCCTTAACTATTGTTGTATCTCATTTGAATACAGCTTATTCTGATTCTATTGCCCTCTTGCCACCCCTGCCCCCTCCGCACCGTGCCTCCCGCCCGCTGCTCACCAATGTCCTGCTGCAGCGACTCCAGGTAGCCCAGCTCATCCTCTGAGTGCGCCGAGGTGATGACCCGCGCGCCGAACAGCGCTGCCAGCTGCACCGCCATCGAGCCGAACCCAGTGGCGCCGCGGGGCAAAAACACTGAGAGGGGTACGGAACTTCGTCACAAACACTGCGCGCAGAACGCAAACACGCCACAAACATTACGCGGTACGCAAATACATCTCACAAACACTGCAGGTACAGATACAAGTTACAGGCACTGTGCGGTATACAAACGCGTTACATACAGCATTACAGAAACACGTCACAAACATAGAGCACTACGTAAACACGTCACAAATACTGGCGCTACGCAAACACGTCAGAAACACCGCGAGGTGCCACGCAGCTATTCGATGTTCGGTTACGATTAGAGCCATACCGAGGTCTGCCGGTCGGATGTGTGCCTGGTAGACGAGTGCGATGTAGGCCTTCAGGGCGTCCTCCAGACAGCTGGCCGCGTGCGCGTCAGACACCGAGGCGGGCTTCGCAACTGAAAGACAACAGTCATGGATGGTAACCGATCAGGGGTGAGTAGAACAGACGGGGCTACACTCGCTGCAGTTAGGAAATAGACTGGGAAACGATCAGCACAGTCGTCTGCAATGCATATTGTAATTGCTGCAACTAAAAACACCTTGAAAATGGAGCTAATGCTGCTCTGAAATAACATCACTGTTGCTCCACTCAAGACATGTTGCATTTCCAGTTTTCACTTACCAATGTCGTACTGGTCGACGACGACGTACTCGGCGCACGCCGGTCTGTTGTGGTCGATGGGCACGATGCCCATGACGGGGTCCCCGGCCTGCCACTGACTGACGCCCCTGCCCACCTGGTGCACCACTCCAGAGAACTCGTGACCCACAGCCAACTGTGGGGAGGAGAAACATGATGATGTATATGTAAAACTGGCAAATAATGGCAGATAAATAATAATGTGAATATGCTAGGTTTTTCTTCAAAACTATGTGATTCAAGTCGGGAATATGGTATTTGACAAAATTGCTAATCCCATGAAGATGACCTTTCTTCCATGGGCGGCGCCACCGGGGGGGACGGGGGGGACAGGTCCCCCGCTATCGAAAGTTAGGGGGGTACAGTACCCCCCTATCGGCGAGGTCCGTTCAATAGTTGATAATAATGCATTGTAGAGTTATCCGTCGCATTTAATGCATCGTTGGTTAATCAAGACAGGTTCTGAATAAAGATTGCTGTTGGGATGTATCGCAGGGGGTCCTGGCCATCTGCAAAAGGTGTGGAGCTGTGATGCCTGTAGTCATAAGGTGATCGGCAGGGCCTCGGGGATCGTGCCCCCCCTTTTTGGGGCGCCAGACAGGGTTTATTACCTCCCCCACCCCACTGCCAGACCACATTGCCGACAAAACCAAGTTTACTGAAATTCCATAGATTTCCGTTACTATATGGATATTTTCCATTCCTAATTAGTCAAATTCAAGCATGGCAGCTCTACCACAGGAACCATTTGAAATATATGCCATTTAACCCAGCACTTGTGGGCAGAAGTGTTCGGATAGATCACAGGCAGGACCAAAAAAGCACGCCGTAGCCCAAGATCTTATAATTGGGTAGCATCGGCACCCTCTCGTCAAGGGGTTCGATAGCACTCGTTTTTTTTCTGCAAAACTAAGTTCGGTCGGCGGCCGAACGGCTGGGGGTCTAATCAAGCCCCCTTCCCTCCCCTTCTTACGTCAGCGGCTGTGAAAATGCCATTACCAGCTGTTGAAACATGGCAGTTGCTTTTGCATGAGTGCACGAAAGGGTTTTAGGTACGTGATACGTGAAAGGTTCTACATGAAATTGAGATACACCAGCTTATCAAATTGTGCTCACTGTGGTGCGCTCGGTTTTACCTTGACTAGTCTTTGAATTCTGGGGTGAAACAGACCAGTCAAGAAACCTGTTCCATAAGGAGAGCCACTGATGCTAAAGAGATGAGGGATGAGGTTTCAAGAGACCTTCATTACCTCCCAAAGGGGTGCCACGCCATTTGCCAATCCCTGCTGTAGTTGTTACGATTGGAGGGTGAATATGAGAACGATGCAGGTCGTGACAGCTCGATCATGACGAACACAATGGTGCCGACATCACAGCTCTATGTACCGCAATTTTTGACGAAGTTAATCAACAAGGACCGGAATCCTACCCTGGGGCACTTCACCTGCAGAGGTCGCCGGACCTGAGACCCTTTCACTCAATTTTTTTCAACGGTGCATGCGGCATGCGCTCGTTTTTCCCTTGAAGCTCTTGGTAAGTAAAATCCATCAGAAAGTGTGATCAAATAACGGCTGGTGACCTTCCATGACCTAGCATGACCTTTTGAGTGACCACCGATGACATGACCACTGACGGCTAGCCATTAGCTGCACCCTGCCCGTTGCATATGGATCAGGTGGTGATGTCATGATTCTGAAATTATATTGCAGTTTTGGCGCACTTGTCAGAGCAGAAAACATTCCCACTTTTCCTCCATGACTATATGATGATGAAGCCATGAAGCTGACCAGACGCAAGATCGAAAATTTGAAAGTACGAAACGTAAGTAGTTGGCACTGCTACTCATACCTAAGCAATTCGCAGCTTGTAGGAAACCAGCTTTGAGTTGGCAAGACTGCAAATTTTGATTTAGAGGCAAGGATGCTTGAAAAGGTGATCGATCTTATAGTTGTCCTATGATAAGTTTGGAAACGGGATGCACCATTCGATGTGTTTTGGGCTTTGCCAAGTTTCGCGGCGTTACGTGCCTCGTTTTTTTTTGCATACACGATCAGTATCTACTTTTGGGATTCTCAGTTAGGCAAGCCCCCGTCCCCGTCCCCCCCTATCGAAAACCCGTGGCGCCGCCCCTGCTTTCTTCCTTGGAGGAGAGGGCAATGTGGAAACATGAATGATCATTTCAAAATAAATACCTATGTTACTACCAATGAGTGCCAGCAATCCTTCAGTAGCCCACTCACCTCACTGCATCCAAGTTTCTTCATATAACTAAGATGTGCTTTGTCCCACATTGTCAAATTGCATGCATTTACTTGTATTAGTACTTCTTCTTCTTCACATGTTGGCGTTTCCTCCTAGAAATTTCATTAAGACCCATCAAATTCAAGTCCATCCTGTCAGAGAGAGGTGTCTGTGTGCTGCATGTTTAAGCACATCCACACTCGTATGGGCTTGAATGAAAGGGAGTGTATGAATTGTGCAATCATATGAGAATGTGATCCAGCCTGCTCAGAGGCTTTCAATGTTGATGGAACTAGGAAGTATGCAGGGGAGAGGGGACCAGGGTTAACAGTCCTGTACACCAATGCAGACCAATTTGTTAATAAAAGAGATTGTTTGCTTGCAGAAATTGCTGGTTCAGAGCCTGAAATTATGATGATAACAGAAGTTCTACCAAAAGCCCAAGTACGCGCACTCTCAGCAGCAATATTCAACCTCACAGGTTACAATGTGTACATGAACTTCGACCCTGATGCCTCAAATCCAGGTAAACAGGGACTTAGGGGCATTTGTGTGTATGTTAAAGACAGCATCAAATGTCAGCCGTTAAGCGTTTCTGCTGTGCATGGGGTGGAAACTATTTGGCTTGCCTTGAGACTAAAAGGCAGAGACACACTTCGGCTGGGATGTCTGTACAGAAGCCCCAGTAGTTGTCTGGCAACGAGTACACTGGAAATATGCAAAGTGCTTGATGACAACTACAGTTCCTCATCGCATATGCTGCTGGCCGGTGACTTCAACTACCCTCGCTTGAACTGGGACACTTTGTCTAGCCCTGCCCCAGATGACCATCCAACTCACCTGTTTATGACCAAGTTAGCTGATCTGTTTTTAGTCCAACACATCTCAAGGCCAACACGATACAGAGCTGGATGCGAGCCGAGTCTTTTGGATCTGGTTTTCACAACTGAGGAGGGAATGGTGTCCAACATTGAATACCTGCCTGGTCTCAGCAAGAGCGACCACCTCCTACTCAGGTTCACAGTCCACTGCTACACTGCCCCAACCTCAGCCCAACTTACCAAGAAACCTGCACTCCACAAGGCAGACTTCAACCTTCTACGAGTTGAAGCAGCCAAAGTTGACTAGGGCCAAATCCAAGATACGAATCCGCAGTGCGCGTACACTTTCTTCAAGAAGACTATATCAGATCTAGTTGACCAACATGTGCCCAAGACAAGATGTGGAAAGCCAAAGAACTTATACATGAACAGAGAAGCCCTTCGCTTGCGCAAAAAGAAAAGGAACTTATGGGCTACCTATGCAAGGACTCTAAACACCAGTGATCTCAACAAGTTCAATGTATGCCGTAATAGGCTGAGGAAGATGACAAGGAAGCTAAGAAGAGATTTTGAAGCCCAGATCACAAAAGACATCAAAACCAACCCTAAGGCTTTTTGGAAATATGCGAACACCCGCCTCAAGACCAAACCTGGGATTGATGTTATCGAAAATGAGCTAGGGCAACCCAAAAGCTCTCCCAGCGACAAAGCAGATCTGCTCAACAAGTTCTTCTCCAGCGTCTTCGCGACAGAGGATCAGACCACCATGCCAGTACCCCGAAGCCAGCCTTTTCTTGGTGACAGACTATGTGAGGCAGTTATAACTTCAGAAGAAGTCTATCAGAAACTGCTCAAGCTGAATGTGTCGGGAGCACCGGGGCCTGATGGACTGCATCCCAGGGTGCTTAAGGAACTGGCTCCACAGATCGCTGTTCCTCTGTCCCAGCTGTTCAATGCTTGTCTCCAGACTTCTAGTGTCCCAGATGAATGGCGCCATGCTGTGGTAGTACCTATTTTCAAGAAAGGATCAAAACAGTCAGCAAGCAACTACAGACCGATCAGTCTAACATCCATTATCTGCAAGACCATGGAAGCAATCATGCGAGACAAGTTAATGGACCATCTTGCCATGAACAATCTGCTTAGTCCACACCAACATGGGTTCCGCCCACTGAACTCTAATATATACTGGAAGGAGCATTGGTGACTTGTTTTTGTCTATCGATTTCCGCCATGTTGTGTATACCAGAAATATAAATTGCATGTACGGTAGCAGAGGTGCAGTTAAGTGAGAGGTACACTACTCAAAAGTGCTGCTGCTTCATGCTTGCAGTTTGATTGCAGTGATCAACTTTTCAAGACTTTGGTATACACAACATGGCGGAAATCGTTAGACATTCTGGCCCATATACGGCCAAGGCGAGTGCCTCCCCCTGGTTCCGCCCCAGTCACTCCTGTAGCACCCAGCTACTGGAAACAATGGACGCCTGGACCAAGATTATTGAAGACAAGCAACCATTGGATGCAGTATACCTGGACTTCAGAAAAGCATTTGATTCTGTGCCCCATGGCCGACTACTATTGAAACTTCAGGAACACGGCATCGATGGGAAACCCCTGGGCTGGATAAGAGCTTTTCTTACTGATAGAACTCAACAGGTCCGGGTTGAAGGGGCAGTGTCCACACGAGCTAGAGTAACAAGTGGAGTACCTCAAGGATCTGTGTTGGGACCTCTTCTGTTTCTTATCTACATCAACGACATACCAGACCACATCTCTTCCAGTATCAAGTTGTTCGCTGACGACTGCAAAGTGTACCATCCAGTATACTCTACTCTTCCCAGGCTAGCGATACACTGCAAGAGGACTTGAACAAACTCGGAAACTGGTCGAGCCAGTGGCAACTCCCATTCAATCTTGACAAATGCCATGTCCTTCACGTAGGCCCGGGCAACCCGAACACGACGTACATGATGTTGGGAAGACCCCTGAAGACCACTGAGAGCGAGAGAGACCTGGGAATCATTGTCGATGGCCTGCTAGACTTCCACCAGCAGACGGCAGCAGCTGTCGCCAGGGCGAACAGAATCCTTGGTATCATCAAGAAGTCTTTCGCAAACCTCGACAAACAGTCCCTGCCAGTGCTCTTCAGGTCTCTGATCCGGCCACACCTTGAGTTCAGCAACTGTGTCTGGGGACCCTTCTCAAGAGGAGATCAAAGGCTAGTGAAAAGGGTTCAGCGCAGAGCAACCAAGATAGTACCTGAGTTACGTCTGAAACCCTATTCTCAGAGACTTCGTCTGCTCGACCTACCGTCGCTAACTTACCGCCGGCTTCGAGACGACATGATAGTTATATACCAGATCCTCCACGGCGCCATGCAGGTTCAAGAAGGGCTTCTCCGCCTCGCCGAGACCAGAACCACTCGAGGTCACCCCTTCAAGCTACACAAGCCCCATGCCATCTCCAGAGCAAGACGGAGCTTCCTGAGCGTCAGAGCAGTGAACAGTTGGAACAGTCTGCCTCTACACGTCGTCTCTGCCCCCTCTCTCAATGCCTTCAAATCCCGAATCGACATCCACTGGAAAGCGATCCGCTTTTCCTCCGTCTTCGACAACTGATACCAACCAGTACCTACAGAGCGAGTACTTACAGTAAAGATCCGGTCCAACAGGCCTATATATATAGGCCTCAAAATTCCGTGTACACCTAAGGTAAGGTAAGGTAAGGTAAGTAAGGGACCTTGAGGAAGGAAGTGAAAGGAAGGAAGTTGGACAGCTTGGGGAGTTGGGGGATGGGTCTGCCCACAAGATGGGGTTGCTCTTGGTGTGATCCTCAGCCTGTCAGCTGCAACCATGACTGCAGTCTGGACCACTGCCACAGTACAACCAGGGTGTGCAAAAGGATGGTTTTGGGCCTCTGAAGGCACCTATTTATTTTTGTCTAAAAATGTTATCAGTCATAACTCATAAGACAAATTATTACTCCAATTTTTTGAAATTTTTGGCATGTTGCAGCTTGATGGGTAAATTGTTAGATTATGTGCCAATATTTTTTACACATTTATAGGTGTCTGACTTTAAATTTGCTTGTCCATAACATATTACAGACCTATAAACAATATATGATAGTGTTTTGGCATTTTATCCACAATCATTCATATCAGTTGGGGAAACTACGAGGCAAAGGTCCAAAAATTGATTGGTCAATAAATGGACTTTTGATGACCATATATGGGCATAAATGCAGCCCCCGCTACTAAGGGTAAAAACGGTATAACACGCCGGTACTTGCGGTATCACGTCCACTTATTGGAGAGTAAAGGCTGCCATTTTCCACTAGGAATTAGCGTGATTTGATTAAATTCGGTGAATTGACTCGAAAATGGCGATAGGAAAATGATTTTTTGGCAGGTTCTGGGCGTAACAATCAGCTGGGCATTCAATAAACAAAGATATTTACTTAAAAAATAATAACTTAGCCACAATAAGAAAAACCATAAACAAAATAATACAAATAATGACATTTTTAAACCATGGTACTGCTTACATTTTTTGGCGTGTCTGTTTCAATCCGCCATATTTGCCAATCACTGTTTGACCTTGTGTTGTAACTCTGTGATTTAGAGCCGCCAGTTAATTGTGCACCAAGTGAGTATAGGGCTTGTGTGGTTAAAAGACATTCTTATGCCTTATTTTTTCATTCGAATGCTAGGGTGCATTGAAAAGATAAAGTTGTCTGATTTTATAACCATATATGGTCATCGCCCCGCCCACCCCAGCCGTTGATTGGCTGATCCAATTTTTGTTTGGCTCCTCGTAGTTTTCCCAACTGATATGCGACAGCTAAAACCAATTCACTGTTAGAGAGAGATAAATTATTACTCCAACTTTACGATAGGTACCACATAAATTCAAATTTACAATTGGAACAGATGTCCAATTTTACAAAAGTCCTCTGATATTTTAAACATAAAAATGTTGCCATATTCACCTACTCACCACAAGTTTGCTGAGGAATGGGCCAGCTTCAAACTTGCTGGTAGTTGTCGAATCAGATGAGCTTGAACTAAAAGGTAGATACAGTGCCCTCATTGTTTTAAATTTGACAGTAAAAATTAACCCAATTTAGCTTCGAAACTCTCTGGGAATAACATCTGTGAACGAATCCTCCCAATACGATAGGTAAGTACGGCGTAAACATGCATTCAAAGATATCCTGAAACATGCACTCATAAATTCCTGTTCGATAGCGATTATTTTGAAAATCTGGAAAGCTGAAAAAAGCTGTTGCTTAGCAAATTGCTCTTTTTTTCTGAACAAATTACGTATTTCTAGCGAGTTGCTAAGCGACGAGCGATTGCTGAATGGGTTTTGCGCCAATAAATGTCGCGGTCGCTTGCCTAATTCTTTCGATAAAAGCTAACTTATCAAGCTAGCCTCAAGCTAGCCTCTAGCGCTCACGTTTATAGTCTGCACGTAGCCGGTAGCGGTGTGTTACCGTACCGATCCATTGTTGGCCAGACCACCAACGGCGGTTAGGTCGCCTGCTCCATTCGGACGCTGAGACCCCGATGACTATCAGGGTGGCTATCTTGGGTGCCGGCCGACCGGCTGACTTGTGCACTGAGCCAGTGAGTATCGCGACCTGTGCTGATATGTGGGGTCGGACGGCCCGGCAATGGTCTCGGTTGGTCTCCCCACCGTGTCTGGTGGCTCCACCGGCACAGGGACCCGGTGCTTCAATCGGTGGCCTCTGCAGGTGAGACCAGACCAGACTGGACAGCACCGACACTTTTATCAGTTATGCAGTATGTTGATCACTGGTGGATGTCCGTGGGAAGACTGCCTCAGTCAGTTAGTCGGCTGCTGCCGGCGAGGTGCTGCTACTGGACCTTTGCATGTCTTAATGAATTCGACATGTTCAAAGAAGAGCAGCTGTAGGTAGATAGAAAATACTGATTGAAGTGCCAGGTTAAACCCTGTATAGAAACGTCAATCGGGAGTAAAACAGGTAAAATTTATACACGTTAGAAATTGCTAGCTGTGTATTTTCATGATTATTTCACATACATGGCGCATTTGTGACGTTCATGAACCATAACAATGACCTGAGGCTGGGGAGACTGCTGTCAATTTAGCAGCAGTTTGATTATCCAACTACAGTTTGATATTCAGGGTGCGCCGATTTCGCCCAAACCTACCCCAGGGACCAAGTTTGTCACGCTGAGCACGAATCTGGTGTCAGAAATCCGCTATTCTCAACCGATCACACAAATTTACCGTTTTTCAGTTCGTCCATCTACAGATTGACAAACTCCAGGGGCCCTCGATTTCGCCCAAAAATGGGTCTACGGGACCAAGTCTGACACGCTGAGCACAATTCTGGTGTCAGAAATCTGCTATTCTCAACCGATCACCCAAATTTACCGTTTTTGAGTTTGTCCATCTACAGATTGACAAACTCCAGGGGCCATCGATTTTGCCCAAAAATGGGTCTACGGGACCAAGTCTGACACGCTGAGCACGAATCTGGAGTCAGAAATCCGCTATTCTCAACCGATCACCCAAATTTACCGTTTGTGAGTTCGTCCATCTACAGATTGACAAACTCCAGGGGCCATCGATTTTGCCGAAAAATGGGTCTACGGGACCAAGCCTGACACGCTGAGCACGAATCTGGTGTCAGAAATCCGCTATTCTCAACCGACCACCCAAATTTACCGTTTTTGAGTTCGTCCATCTACAGATTGACAAACTCCAGGTGCCATCGATTTCGCCCAAAAATGGATCTAGGGGACCAAGTGTGACACGCTGAGCACGAATCTGGTGTTAGAAATCCGCCATTCTCAACCGATCACCCAAATTTACCGTTTCTGAGTTCGTCCATCTACAGATTGACAAACTCCAGGGGCCATCGATTTCGCCCAAAAATGGGTCTAGGGGACCAAGTCTGACACGCTGAGCACGAATCTGGTGTCAGAAATCCGCTATTTTCAACTGATCACCCAAATTTACCGTTTTTGAGTTCGTCCATCTACAGATTGACAAACTCCAGGGGCCATCGATTTCGCCCAAAAATGGGTCTAGGGGACCAAGTATGACACGCTGAGCACGAATCTGGTGTCAGAAATCCGCTATTCTCAACCGATCACCCAAATTTACCGTTTTTGAGTTCGTCCATCTACCTACAGATTGACAAACTACAGGGGCCATCGATTTGGCCCAAAAATGGGTCTAGGGGACCAAGTCTGACACGCTGAGCACGAATCTGGTGTCAAAAATCCGCTATTCTCAACCGATCACCCAAATTTACCGTTTTTGAGTTCGTCCATCTACAGATTGACAAACTCCAGGGGCCATCGATTTGGCCCAAAAATAGGTCTAGGGGACCAAGTCTGACACGCTGAGCACGAATCTGGTGTCAGAAATCCGCTATTTTCAACTGATCACCCAAATTTACCGTTTTTGAGTTCGTCCATCTACAGATTGACAAACTCCAGGGGCCATCGATTTCGCCCAAAAATGGGTCTAGGGGACCAAGTATGACACGCTGAGCACGAATCTGGTGTCAGAAATCCGCTATTCTCAACCGATCACCCAAATTTACCGTTTTTGAGTTCGTCCATCTACCTACAGATTGACAAACTACAGGGGCCATCGATTTGGCCCAAAAATGGGTCTAGGGGACCAAGTCTGACACGCTGAGCACGAATCTGGTGTCAAAAATCCGCTATTCTCAACCGATCACCCAAATTTACCGTTTTTGAGTTCGTCCATCTACAGATTGACAAACTCCAGGGGCCATCGATTTGGCCCAAAAATAGGTCTAGGGGACCAAGTCTGACACGCTGAGCACGAATCTGGTGTCAGAAATCCGCTATTCTCGACCGATCACCCAAATTTACCGTTTTTGAGTTCGTCCATCTACAGATTGACAAACTCCAGGGGCCATCGATTTCGCCCAAAAATGCGTGTAGGGGACCAAGTGTGACACGCTGAGCACGAATCTGGTGTCAGAAATCCGCTATTCTGAACCGATCACCCAAATTTACCGTTTTTGAGTTCGTCCATCTACAGATTGATTGAGATTGAGAATAGCGGATTTCTGACACCAGATTCGTGCTCAGTGTGTCAGACTTGGTCCCCTACTAGACCCATTTTTGGGCCAAATTGATGGCCCCTGGAGTTTGTCAATCTGTAGATGGACGAACTCAAAAACGGTAAATTTGGGTGATCGGTTGAGAAAAACGGATTTTTGACACCAGATTCGTCCTCAGCGTGTCACACTTGGTCCCCTAGACCCATTTTTGGGCGAAATCGATGGCCCCTGGAGTTTGTCAATCTGTAGATGGACGAACTCAAAAACGGTAAATTTGGGTGATCGGTTGAGAATAGCGGATTTCTGACACCAGATTCGTGCTCAGCGTGTCAGACTTGGTCCCCTAGACTCGTTTTTGGGCAAAATCGATGGCCCCTGGAGTTTGTCAATCTGTTGATGGACGAACTCAAAAACGGTAAATTTGGGTGATCGGTTGAGAATAGCGGATTTCTGACACCAGATCCGTGCTCAGCGTGTCAGACTTGGTCCCCTAGACCCATTTTTGGGCGAAATCGATGGCCCCTGGAGATTGTCAATCTGTAGATGGACGAACTCAAAAACGGTAAATTTGGGTGATCGGTTGAGAATAGCGGATTTCTGACACCAGATTCGTGCTCAGCGTGTCAGACTTGGTCCCCTAGAATCGTTTTTGGGCCAAATCGATGGCCCCTGGAGTTTGTCAATCTGTAGATGGACGAACTCAAAAACGGTAAATTTGGGTGATCGGTTGAGAATAGCGGATTTTTGACACCAGATTCGTGCTCAGCGTGTGAGATTTGATCCCCTAGACCCATTTTTGGGCCAAATCGATGGCCCCTGGAGTTTGTCAATCTGTAGATGGACGAACTCAAAAACGGTAAATTTGGGTGATCGGTTGAGAAAAACGGATTTCTGACACCAGATTCGTGCTCAGCGTGTCACACTTGGTCCCCTAGACCAATTTTTGGGCGAAATCGATGGCCCCTGGAGTTTGTCAATCTGTTGATGCACGAACTCAAAAACGGTAAATTTGGGTGATTGGTTGAGAATAGCGGATTTCTGACACCAGCTTCGTGCTCAGCGTGTCAGACTTGGTCCCCTAGACTCGTTTTTGGGCAAAATCGATGGCCCCTGGAGTTTGTCAATCTGTAGATGGACGAACTGAAAAACGGTAAATTTGGGTGATCGGTTGAGAATAGCGGATTTCTGACACCAGATTCGTGCTCAGCGTGTCAGACTTGGTCTCCCTAGCCCATTTTTGGGCCAAATGGATGGCCCCTGGAGTTTGTCAATCTGTAGATGGACGAACTCAAAAACGGTAAATTTGGGTGATCGGTTGAGAAAAGCGGATTTCTGACACCAGATTCGTGCTCAGCGTGTCACACTTGGTCCCCTAGACCCATTTTTGGGCCAAATTGATGGCCCCTGGAGTTTGTCAATCTGTAGATGGACGAACTCAAAAACGGTAAAATTGGGTGATCAGTTGAGAATAGCGGATTTCTGACACCAGATTCGTGCTCAGCGTGTCAGACTTGGTCCCCTAGACCAATTTTTGGGCGAAATCGATGGCCCCTGGAGTTTGTCAATCTGTTGATGCACGAACTCAAAAACGGTAAATTTGGGTGATTGGTTGAGAATAGCGGATTTCTGACACCAGCTTCGTGCTCAGCGTGTCAGACTTGGTCCCCTAGACTCGTTTTTGGGCAAAATCGATGGCCCCTGGAGTTTGTCAATCTGTAGATGGACGAACTGAAAAACGGTAAATTTGGGTGATCGGTTGAGAATAGCGGATTTCTGACACCAGATTCGTGCTCAGCGTGTCAGACTTGGTCTCCCTAGCCCATTTTTGGGCCAAATGGATGGCCCCTGGAGTTTGTCAATCTGTAGATGGACGAACTCAAAAACGGTAAATTTGGGTGATCGGTTGAGAAAAGCGGATTTCTGACACCAGATTCGTGCTCAGCGTGTCACACTTGGTCCCCTAGACCCATTTTTGGGCCAAATTGATGGCCCCTGGAGTTTGTCAATCTGTAGATGGACGAACTCAAAAACGGTAAAATTGGGTGATCAGTTGAGAATAGCGGATTTCTGACACCAGATTCGTGCTCAGCGTGTCAGACTTGGTCCCCTAGACCCATTTTTGGGCCAAATCGATGGCCCCTGGAGTTTGTCAATCTGTAGATGGACGAACTCAAAAACGGTAAATTTGGGTGATCGGTTGAGAATAGCGGATTTCTGACACCAGATTCGTGCTCAGCGTGTCAGACTTGGTCCCTGGGGCAAGTTTGGGCGAAATCGACGCACCCTGAATATCAAACTGTAGTTGGATAATCAAAGTGCTGCTAAATTGACAGCAGTGCTGGGGAGGCACATGCAATGCTCAGTGACAAGCTTACATAAGATTACCCAGATCAAGGCCATATATACCCAGATTACCGACGTAATACCGAAGGGCGCGGTGCAAGTTTTTGTTATCTGTGCTACTTGTAACTTGGTGCCTACAAGTGGGAGTGATACGGATAGTGCCAGTGTTGCCTGGTCAGCAGGGAAGGTGGAAGGTGTTCACCTGCGCCGGCTTAGCTGAGCTGCGTATATATTTCGTTTTTATTCGCTTGACGAGGTAGGTATGTCGCATCGTTACTGTGGCTCTTGTAGAGATGATCGTTGAAAGGATACTTTTGTACCCACACTTGTATGGAGCACAAACATAATTTTCACAAAAAGAGAACTTACAATGAGCAGTGCCGCCATTGCCTCATTCACCAATCCTGCTAGGGCAGATGGCTTCATTGTCGCTCGGACAATTAATCGTAATCGTGATACATTATCATCCGGCGATCGCAACCATGTGAGTTACATTTTACCAAAGCTGAAGCATGCATTCCACAGTGAATGCAACATCGATTGTCAAGATGAATTCCCAACTTCACACGCCTCCGCCTGACCGCCCCCCCCCCCCCCCACTGTCATGTGTTCAGCAGAAGCTCCGTTAGCCGTCCCACGCCTGACAGCCCCTCCCCCTGCATACCCGGCAGAAGCTCCGTCAGCCGTCCCTCGCCTGACAGCCCCTCCCCCCTGTATACTCGACAGAAGCTCCGTCAGCCGTCCCACGCCTGTCATGGCCGTATCGTTCTACGTGCGTCTGGTGCGGCACGGAGAGACGGACGCCAACGTGCGGCGTGTCGTCGAGTCGCACACGCCCACCCCGCTGAACGAGGTGGGACGGCGGCAGGCAGACGCGCTGGGCGCCGCCTGGCGCGCCGAGGGCGTCTCCTTCCACCGCGTGCTGAGCAGCGACACGACGCGCGCCATGGAGACGTGTCAGCGCGCACTGGCCGCCGCCGGCCGGCCGGCGCCCCAGCCGCAGCCCGAGCCGATGCTCCGCGAACGGGACGTCGGTCAGATGGCCGGCCTGACGTACGACGAGGCGCGCCGCCGCTGGGGCGACTCTCAGGAGGCCGACCACTGCCCGGCCGGCTCGGAGCTGCCGGCCGCCGCGCGCCTCCGCGCCGGACGCTTCTTCGACCGACTGGTGGACGAGCTGGCCGCAGAGGGCTGCGACGGCGCCGAGGTGGCCGTCTTCAGCCACGCGGGCCTGCTGCACTTCCTGCTGCAGCAGCTGCAGCAGCAGCACCGGCTGCAGCTGTCGGCGGCGCTGCTACCCGCCGGCGAGCTGCACTTCTGCCACAACACGGGCCAGACGCGGCTGCACGTGCGGCGCGGCTCGGACGGCGAGCTGGCCATCAGCTGCGAGTTCCTGCACCGGGACGACCACCTGACCGGCGACCTGGCGCCCACCGTCTACCTGATGCCGTCGCTCGGCAAAATACCACGTAAGGCGAAATTGCGACTATCGCTAGCAAAATGATGCCTTTCATTACCGACGCAGTTTTGCAGTCTGGTTTTGGGCGCCTCAAACTTCGGTGCGATCCTAATTAGGGTTTTCATTGTTTAGTTTCCATTTTGATGGGTGTTGTAAAAAGGATCACCTATGGCCTCGAATTTCTCGTTCCTGGGGTCACGCTCAATGGTCACACTCGACCGAGTTCACGGTCGTTCCCGAGGAGGTTTACAAATATCAGCCCTTAACAGTTACGGTGCCTAGCGACCGACTGACCCGGGCCACTGCAGAAATGATACGTCCCGGGACGGGAGCGTGTAGATGACTGACATCCATATGTTGTATGTCCACAGGTGACAGTGTCGGCGTCGACAAACCCTTCGAGGAGTGCATGGCGGGCGACGCGTGATGGCGTCAGTCCTACTGACGGCAGCTGGGGCGCCGGCGCACGCGCTGCCGGGGAGCAGCCTTCCAAGTTCCAAGTAATCTCAGACAGTAGACACGTGCGGGCTGCCCCGGGCTCTGCAGTAATTACACGATAGGCTACAATAGGTCATCGAGAGGCGACCTGTCACGGTGTATCTCAGCTTATGATATTGTGAGCTGCACAGCTTTGAACCCAAATAGTCACTCAGGTGGGGGTAGTTATTATTTTTGGAATGTACGCGTCTTGTCATGTTTATTTTGTGTGCTGTTACATATCTAGACGGGTATGAATAAATCGATAATTTAACCTTGTGTGACGTTTGAGGCACGAATCAGATAAATCAGAGTACTACGTTTACGGGTAAAAAGAAGTCGGCCATCCCGGTGGTCCTGAAGTCAGGCAGGGTCAGAGCTCGAGCATTGGTCCAACCGCTCAGAAGCATTGAAATTCTTCAGTGAAGCAGCGCTGGGCCGCTGGACCGTGTTCAGTCAAAGACACTTACTCAGCGGTGTTGTCATCAATAAAATACGATCAGTCAGTATGCTCGAAAATGCTGGTCAAGTGGTCACGCAGATAGGCGGCTTTGCGCAGAGTTACGAAACCACACCCATCACAGCGCAACCTTAACAAAGCTACAGTATATTTTTTTCTTACGGTTTACCAGAAATAGGTGGATGACAAACCTGACACGGCTGAAGCCAGTTCAGATCCCTCTCTCCAGGATCAGGCAAGCTCCCAGCTCACCGCACTGTCACGATATCAGCGCCATTCGTCTACTAGGCGTCGATCTCAGCGCCACCTGCCGCGTGAAATAGGCTTACTCTGACTTAGGCTGCGGGTCTATCACCGTTTGCGCTCGGTCTTCCATCTGTAGACGGGCGCCTGCGTAGAGCTGCCCGGGTGCACCTTTTTCGGCGCCTCCTCCTTCTTATTCTGCGGAAAAACAGACACACGTTGGTAGCGAATGGTCAGGACAGGTCCAGAAAAGAAACTGGATAAAACCCACACGACGGGGATTGCAGTAGTCATAAAAACACGGGGTTGACACTAAAGAGACGGTACGGGTGGACTGACTGTACGGGATTCTATTTCCAGCTGAGGTTAAATATTATTCGCTAGGCTCCTCCGCTTCTCCACATCTCCAGAATCGCCGCCTGCCCTCCTTGTCCGCCCTCTCAACGTTATACCGTCCTTGACCCGAGATCTCACGTCTCCTGAGGTCCCCATACGTCCCTCCCGTCCCTGGCCTCGCCTCGGTTCCCGCACAGCTCTCCCCACGCTCCCGTACCTGCAGGTGCCGTTTGAGCTCCATGCGCCGCTCCATCAGTGACAGCGTCTTCTCCCGCTCCAGACGCTTGGCCAGCTCACTGTAGCGGGCCTTCTTCTCGGCCAAGATCCGCTGCAGTAATATAAAAGCAGCCCATGAGCGTTAAACACCAAATAATGGCCATGCCTACAGTTTGTTTGTTTATTGGGGCTTTAGGGTGCGCCGAGGGAGACACAGTAGATATGTTTGGCACCGAAAGAAAAAAAGTGAGCAATTCCTTGAATACCGGTAATAAGTATCCAAAAGGCTTTCGGTTGAAATGACGTGAGATGCGCGTCTTTTATCGGCAACCACTTTTCGCTATATTCAAAAGGAGAGAGAACGAGCAAAGAGAATTTCACATCCGAATTCAGAAATGAAATGGATGAAATACAGCACTGGGCCTGCACCTCCCGCCCATGCGGGCGCCGTCGCCCAACGGCTCTGTGCGAGGCGGGCCACTCACGTCGAGTTGTTCCTCGTCCATTGCACGCGGGGCCTTCATCACGCTGAGCTGCTCCACCGTGGGACGGTTATAGGCCCGGTCCAGCAGCTCGGGCGCCGTGCGCAGTCGTTCGGCCACGTCCAGCGTGCGGGCTGTGGAACACAGCGTCAGAGGGGTCAGCGACAGAGTTCAGAAGCGTCCAGAGTACAGGCTGAGAGCTCAGAGCCATCATTTGAATGGCTGGGATCAGCGTTAATTCACTTGAAGCAGTGCTGGAAAAGAGATAATTAGGTACAAAAGAAAATTGAAGCACTTCATTTAACCTATTATATCTAATTTCTCACCCTGTTTCTTGTCGTCGGTGAAGAAGACATGTGTGTTTTTGGGTTTTCCCTCCGCGTCGAGCAGGTGGAGCTCTGCCGTCAGCCGGGCCAGCTTCTTGGTCTCCAGCTGGCGGCGCTGTCGGATGTAGCGGATGTCCTGGCTCTGCAGCAGCGCCAGCTGATCCTCAGGCAGCTCGTCGCCGGCCTCCACCTCGTGGTGACGTCCCTCCTGAGTAGCGGGGGGAGGGGGGGGGGGTGTTAGATGTCTGCACAGCCTCCCGCCCCTCCTCAGGGAGCGGGGAAGGGAGGGGCGTCAGACCGGTCATCGGCGGTGGGCGCTTGGAGGACCCAGCGTTTTACACTTCGAACATTATTTGTCGGCCGGAAAAAAATGTCGTGAGCCAAGTAAAAGATTGCAGAACCACCAAACTGTCTTATATCCCGCTGCGTCATATTTAGGTTACGCACGAATCAAAGTGCATAAAAAATAATTATAATAACGAAACAGCGACGGTAAGTAGCACATCAGAATCTAGCACTACTGGGCTAAACAGTACCATACAATTCGCCAAACTAATGCCGCACCTTACCTTTGTTCTCGAGTTGACCATGTGAAAGTAGAATTCATCTGGGTTGCGGTTGAGGGCTTTGCGCTTCAAAGCTTTCAGCTGATGTTTCTTCTTGTTTTCCTCGCTGAAAAAGTTATAGTTACGATGTCGGCATCAAATGAAGGTTAGTACCTGGTATACTCACATAAGTATGAAGTCAGTTTCGCAGCCGTAACGTTACAATAACGGCCCATGACACATCGGCATAAAATGCCTTTATTTATAGGGTTTTTAAATACCTAATGGCATGATTTATCGACGACCATGACAGAGCTCTGGCCTCTGCCACTGGTGACTATCTTCGGGACGATGTTCCGTGCCATATCGTTTATGTCTTCCTGGTCGGTATGTACAGTCTGTCTTAAAAGTACCGCGCAAAGTGGCGGTGGATCCATCGAGCCTGACTGGGGAAGGGCCTGCTAAATTTGGGTCACCGAAGCAATGGACATCCTCGTCCATTCCCCAGCTCAATTGGTTCGGTGACTTTCAAATTAAAGCAGACCTTTCTCGGTCAGGCTTGATGGATCCACCGCCACTTTGCGCGGTACTTTTAAGACAGACTGTACACCGGAGATCCAGCGCCCCGGGAGCTCCCGGGCACCACATGGTCCAATGGTAGGTCGGCACCCCCATCCCCTCCCCACTGCGAGGTCGGCAGCCCCCCTTCCCCACTGCTGGGTCAGCAGCCCTCCCGCGGACAGCTCGGCTGCTGCGCGGTCGGTGGGCGGCGCCAGGGTGCGGCACTCGGCAGGCTCCACCCCCGGCCGCCGCCACCGGCCGATTATTCCACGGTCCGGTGCAGCGGACAGCGGGACAAATAACGACTAATACTCGACATCTGGTGACTTAATGTGACGCCACACGCGCCGCCGCCGTTCCACCGCTCCTGGCGGGACGCGTGGCCGGTCGGCGGTCCCGAGCGGACACAGGCCAGATATAGCCAACTCTGCAGCTCCACCTCATCAGCTGGGCAGGCGGGTCAGACCAGTCGGTTGGCTCCCCAAAACGCTCCACGAAAGAGATGCAATGTTTCAACGAACCAAAACTATCCAGAGAGTAGCAGCCTACAGATCATTTGCCTGTTGCACTAGCACTACCGTAAAACAGGTGCCTGATATCTCATCAGCCGAAATACGGATACCCAAGACGATGCCTATGCAAAAAAAAAAAAAAAAAACAGATGGCCCAGTCAAAGTGTCTGTGTGGTAAACTCACTTGGCCCGCTGTTTGTAGTCACGCTTCTTCTCCAGAAGGCCCAGGTGCTGTCTGGCTGCAGGCTGAGGAAGACAAAGGGTCCAGTAATGAAAGCATAGTGACACCTGCACTAAAAATACATGGATGGGAGAAACTAAACACATTTAGCAGGCCATCAGGAAACACGACCTTCTAGATGTGTCTTGTTCTCCTTGAAGTTCATAATGCATAAAATGTTTGATTTTAAAGCGTCGCTCGTAGGCACCATGGTATGCCACTAGTGCCTCCCATCATTCCATGTGAGAGTGTATGGGATTCAATGACCCATCTTACCTGATGCCTCTCTCTGTGGAACTTCTGTCCTTTGACAGCATTTCTGAGTGAGGACATTGTTCAGTAGATCAGTGGTCTGACTGAATGGAGTTTCTTTTGATCTCCTCTGCTTGGTTCTTCAGCTTGAACTGATTCCACAGCCACAGGTAAGTTTGCTAGTAACCTGTCAAAATATCAAACATTTGACTTTACAGTTTCAGTAATAATTATTCAATCATCCCGATCCATGCTACCTATCTATTACAATTAAAAACTTATATTCATACAAGCAATGTGCTGCACATGCCATGTTTTGAAGGGCACTTAAGTACTTGACACCACTTGACACATGAAGTTTGGCACCAAAAAAAGTTGTTCATTAGGTTCAGACTCAGGGTTTCATTCACAGTCCACAGACAAATATACGTCTGTTCATTCACAGTTTATGTCTGTGGTTTCACTTCATTTCAAGTTTCAACCTTTCTTTTGAGATTAAGCATAACATTATCATAGTCATGAAACATATAAATGTAACATGCATTGATTCGAATCCCTGGTGATATTTAACTTTTAACATAGTTTTGAACTGAAATAGTAGATTTGTAGCTTGAGCTGAGCTGAGAATGATATTTATCAGAAGTTTCATGACTCCTTATCCAACAATCACCCATCCTAGCCAAAGGTTTTTCAATAGGTATAAGTTCCAAATTTATTCCCTGTCCAGAATTGTCAATTGTTTCCCTCTACTATGAATATCTCGGATGCAACAGAGGACGATTTAATACACACAGGGCAGAGAAGTGAAGAAAACAAAATTGCTACAAAAATATGTGACAAAGTGTTTAAACCTATAAATGTTAACTGACGAAAGGCTGTTAAAGGACATAACATCCAGTGGATGGAGCTGACTGAAGGAGCCATGATAATCAGGTAGTTTAGGTCAGAAAGTGTTGATATATCAATTTAATGCCTCATTTTTAGCACACATTTGATTTAAATTTTATAAGCAACAAATCGAAATGTCAATTGATCTATTCTATTCAAAATAAATAAATTGTTCTGTTCTTTTGGGATATGGGACACAGCTTACAGTCAGACCAAATGGCGATTTTCACCACTCTCAGTTGCCTAACACTTCAATCACTTCTGAACAATAACTAAAATTTCATTGTAAATCCAAGTGTGCCACAATTATTTGACTGATCACTCATGTTATAGTCTAAATGATCTACAAATTTCCGGCATTAGTAGAGCAGACGTCACTCGAAGGTTTTCCAACCGAGGAGAGGCACTGTAGGTTTGTAGGTTGTAGGGTAGGTTTGTAGGTTGTAGGTTTTCCTAGAAAGAAGCACCACCGGGTATGGCGCCTCTCTTTGGTTGGAAAATGAAAACCTTTGTGTGACGTCTGCTCTACTAATACAAAATTTCCTACCTATTGAAAGGATATTAAATAAATCGGTGACAGATTCAGCTTGTGGAAAATTGTCAATGGAGAATAGAAACCTGAAAATGGATGTCACCAGTCTGAGTCAAATCAAAATAATTTTTTTTGGGGGGTGCTCGCATGGCTTGGCTTACAAACATCTTGAACCTCTAACATCAATATAGAATTGCAAAGCACCAGATAGAAAAGAACAAGATATCTTGGCTCGCTCCGCGTCGCTTTGACCATAAAAAGATTCGGGAGAAAATTTGGGATCGAATGGTGTTTTTCCGGTGACGATCGGACGTCTAGAAGCTTCGATATTGGCGAAAAACTTGCTGAACTTGCAAAAGTACTTGGTACTTGCCAAAGTACTCGGTACTTGCCAAAGTACTTGGTACTTGCTTGGTATTTGCATAAGTACTCGGTATTTGCCAAAGTACTTGGTACTTGCTTGGTATTTGCATAAGTACTTGGTACTTGCTTGGTACTTGTAAAAGTACTTGGTACTTGCGAAAGTACTTGGTACTTGCTTGGTACTTGTACTCGCCCCCCCCCCTTGTTCCCCCGACTCTACTCCCACCCCTACACCCTCGGGATAATTCCGGGTTCGTCGGGTAGAAAAACTTGCCACTCTATCCCCCCCCCCCCCAGAGCCATTTGGTATCGATCGGTGTTTGTCCCGTGTCAATCGGTCGTCAATAAGCCGAGATATGCACGGCGACTTATTTCAATCGGCGCCGATCATAATCTTCAGGACGGAGGTACATACCCACACTCATTTCTGGCCGTATCTCACTTTTCCGAGATCTACGTCAAACTACGTATTTAAAACTACAATTCTACAGCCGAATCTTCCAACTGGGGGTACCTCACTCACAATCGCACGTGATTCAGCCGCATTCCTGTGAGGCGCGCAATGTTGAAGAGATATGTGTGCACGCAGATATCTCGCAAGCCCTAAGAGAAAAAGCTCGCTGCAAAAACTGAGCGTTTCAAAAAACCCGAAATCCTACTCAAATGAATAATTAAATACTTGGTACTTGCCAAAGTACTCGGTACTTGCCAAAGTACTTGGTACTTGCTTGGTATTTGCATAAGTACTCGGTATTTGCATAAGTACTTGGTACTTGCTTGGTACTTGTAAAAGTACTTGGTACTTGCGAAAGTACTTGGTACTTGCTTGGTACTTGTACTCGCCCCCCCCCCCTTGTTCCCCCGACTCTACTCCCACCCCTACACCCTCGGGATAATTCCGGGTTCGTCGGGTAGAAAAACTTGCCACTCTATCCCCCCCCCCCCCCAGAGCCATTTGGTATCGATCGGTGTTTGTCCCGTGTCAATCGGTCGTCAATAAGCCGAGATATGCACGGCGACTTATTTCAATCGGCGCCGATCATAATCTTCAGGACGGAGGTACCCACACTCATTTCTGGCCGTATCTCACTTTTCCGAGATCTACGTCAAACTACGTATTTAAAACTACAATTCTACAGCCGAATCTTCCAACTGGGGGTACCTCACTCACAATCGCACGTGATTCAGCCGCATTCCTGTGAGGCGCGCAATGTTGAAGAGATATGTGTGCACGCAGATATCTCGCAAGCCCTAAGAGAAAAAGCTCGCTGCAAAAACTGAGCGTTTCAAAAAACCCGAAATCCTACTCAAATGAATAATTAAACAAGATATCTTGGCTCGCTCCGCGTCGCTTTGGCCATAAAAAGATTCGGGAGAAAATTTGGGATCGAATGGTGTTTTTCCGGTGACGATCGGACGCCTAGAAGCTTCGATATTGGCGAAAAACTTGCTGAACCTGCAAAAGTACTTGGTACTTGCTTGGTACTTGCCAAAGTACTCGGTACTTGCCAAAGTACTTGGTACTTGCTTGGTATTTGCATAAGTACTCGGTATTTGCCAAAGTACTTGGTACTTGCTTGGTATTTCCATAAGTACTTGGTACTTGCTTGGTACTTGTAAAAGTACTTGGTACTTGCTTGGTACTTCCGAAAGTACTTGGTACTTGCACTCGCCCCCCCCCCCCCCCCCGTTTCCCCGACTCTACTCCCACACCTACCCCCTCGGGATAATTCCGGGTTCGTCGGGTAGGAAAACTTGCCACTCTACTCCCCCCCCCCACAGAGCCATTTGGTATCGATCGGTGTTTATCCCGTGTCAATCGGTCGTCAATAAGCCGAGATATGCACGGCGAATTATTTCAATCGGCGTCGATCAGAATCTTCAGAACGGAGGGACCCACACTCATTTCTGGCCGTATCTCACTTTTCCGAGATGTACGTCAAACTACGTATTTAAAACTACATATTCTACAGCCGAATCTTCAAACTGGGGGTACCTCAGACCGTGGGAACGACTCGGCTCAGCACTGCCGCACGCGCATTCAGCGGCGGCTTGTCGATTTTTCGAGTGTCGGCTGCCGATCTCCCGAGAGCCGGCCACCTGTCAGCCGCCGCTCGGCTCTGTGTTAAGCATATGGGGACGGCGAATTTCTCCCGGAGGGAAGCACCTCGCTCACAAAAGCACGTGAATCAGCCGCATTCCTTGTTATCGTCTAATGCTGAAGAGATATGTGTGTACGCAGCTATCTCGCAAGCCCTAACAGGAAAAGCTCGCTGCAAAAACTGAGCGTTTCAAAAAACCCGAAATCCTACTCAAATGGATATTTAAACAAGATATCTTGGCTCGCTCCGCGTCGCTTTGGCAATCAAAGTATGAGGGAGAAAATTTGGGATCGATTGGTGTTCGTCCCGTGTTAATCGGACGTCTAGAAGCTTAGATATTCACGAAAAACTTGTTGAACCTGCCAAAGTACCTGCCAGCTTGCTGTATCACCTGCTACTTGGTAATGTACTGAAAACTTGCTAATGTACTGAAAACCTGCCAAAGTACTTGGTATTTACTTGCCTAAATACCGCAAAGAACTTGTTCCTTTCCGACGTTTAAATCAGACGTCTTTAGTCGATCAAAGACTTTGCGAATTTGCCTTGGTCTCAGATAATTTTGATTTGTTCCAATGAATTATTTGTAATTTGAATTATACTTGTTCCCAATTTGTATTTTGTTTCACCTACCTATCATTTCTAACTTGTTTTAGCGTCCTACCTATTAAGCGATTACACATACGTAGAGAGAGCCGGTGGGTGGTTATAATGCAATACCCTGCACGGTGAACAGCTTGCGAGTTTTACAGCGGTGCGATTGCTGGGGCTTATCGCTGACAGAAAAGGGTAAATACAGTAAATACAGATGGCTGTGTTGGATCCCTTTGCTTTTGCCCAACATTCAGCGTTGGAATTGTGGCTTTACCGTCCCTCTTATCAAAGTTATCTAACTTTTTGTAGCTTCGTCAGGTTAGACACGACGCGCGTGACCTCTGGCGGCCGCTGGCGGAACTACCGCGCACGGCCCGCACACGGGCCTGGCGGCCGCCAGTGGAACTACTGCGCAGGTGGCAGCACCTACCCGTGGAGAAGCGGCTGGCAATCGGCCGCCCCACTCCCCACCCCGCCCCCACCCAGCTGGCCGCCAGACCGTGGGAACGACTCGGCTCAGCGCTGCCGGCCGCTGGACGGGGAAACCCCGCCCCGCCGCCCGCCGCCCAACACACTGCCGCCGGGCCGGCCGGTGGAATTTTCCAGCCGTCTCTCCGGAACGGCGGCACCCCGCTCATCTTCGCACGCGCATTCAGCGGCGGCTTGTCGATTTTTCGAGTGTCGGCTGCCGATCTCCCGAGAGCCGGCCACCTGTCAGCCGCCGCTCGGCTCCGTGTTAAGCATATGGGGACGGCGAATTTCTCCCGGAGGGAAGCACCTCGCTCACAAAAGCACGTGAATCAGCCGCATTCCTGTGTGGCGCGCAATGCTGAAGAGATATGTGTTTCCGCGGGTATCTCGCAGGCCCTAAGAGAAAAAGCTCGCTGCAAAAACTGAGCGTTTCAAAAAACCCGAAATCCTACTCAAATGGATATTTAAACAAGATATCTTGGCTCGCTCCGCGTCGCTTTGGCAATCAAAGTATGAGGGAGAAAATTTGGGATCGATTGGTGTTCGTCCCGTGTTAATCGGACGTCTAGAAGCTTAGATATTCACGAAAAACTTGTTGAACCTGCCAAAGTACCTGCCAGCTTGCTGTATCACCTGCTACTTGGTAATGTACTGAAAACTTGCTAATGTACTGAAAACCTGCCAAAGTACTTGGTATTTACTTGCCTAAATACCGCAAAGAACTTGTTCCTTTCCGACGTTTAAATCAGACGTCTTTAGTCGATCAAAGACTTTGCGAATTTGCCTTGATCTCAGATAATTTTGATTTGTTCCAATGAATTATTTGTAATTTGAATTATACTTGTTCCCAATTTGTATTTTGTTTCACCTACCTATCATTTCTAACTTGTTTTAGCGTCCTACCTATTAAGCGATTACACATACGTAGAGAGAGCCGGTGGGTGGTTATAATGCAATACCCTGCACGGTGAACAGCTTGCGAGTTTTACAGCGGTGCGATTGCTGGGGCTTATCGCTGACAGAAAAGGGTAAATACAGTAAATACAGATGGCTGTGTTGGATCCCTTTGCTTTTGCCCAACATTCAGCGTTGGAATTGTGGCTTTACCGTCCCTCTTATCAAAGTTTTCTAACTTTTTGTAGCTTCGTCAGGTTAGACACGACGCGCGTGACCTCTGGCGGCCGCTGGCGGAACTACCGCGCACGGCCCGCACACGGGCCTGGCGGCCGCCAGTGGAACTACTGCGCAGGTGGCAGCACCTACCCGTGGAGAAGCGGCTGGCAATCGGCCGCCCCACTCCCCACCCCGCCCCCACC